TGCTTAAATCCCTCCACTGGCTGCCGATTGGTTTCCGGGCACAGTAGAAAGTGTTGGTTTTAACCTTTAAAGTCCTACATGGCTTGGGTCCATCCTATTTTAGGGACCGCCTCTTCCCGTATGATCCCCCCCACGCCCTCCGGTCCTCTGGGAGGAATCTGCTACAGCCAATAAAAACTAGGCTGTCTCAGACCTCCCAGAGTGCCTTTTCTGCGACTGCTCCCAGACTTTGGAATGGCCTGCCGGATGAGATCCGTCTTATCACTACTCTTGCTGCTTTTAAAAAAGCAGTAAAGATGGATCTCTTCCAGTAGGCCTTCCCAGAATAGTCTCCTGGCTCCAGGGGAGATAGTTCTTAGTGTTCCTTGTATTATGGTTGCCCTATTGTTTTGTTGGTTTTATTTTATTATGGCATTTTAATTTCTTTATAGTTTAATCTTGTTTTAATGGGATGGGTGGGGAGCTCATCTTGGGAGCAGCTGGACTTTTTGACCAGTGAGGAATGTCTAGATTCATTTCAAGGTTGCAAAAGGAGAGCTGCACACACAGCCTTGTTACTTGTGTGGTGTTGTCGTGCATGTACATATTTTCATATTTCCGGGTTCATGTAGAAGTGCATGTGTATTTGGTTGCACACTTGATGGTACAGCATCAAAAATCACTAACAAAGCAATGTTGTGAACTCCATGGTTGTGATCCTGCAATGCAGAGTGTAGTGTAAATATACCTTGAGTGGAATTATGCTAGATCTCTCCTTTCAACCCCACATGACTTGCTGTTTACTCAATGCAGCTGTTTACTCAATGCAACCCCACACTACTTGCTGTTTACTCAACCCTTGCTATTGGTTTGTGAAGAGCATGTTTTTTTTTTTTTTTGAGAATTATGGGGAGGTAGGGACCCTCTTTTCATGTAAGGTGAATCTGTTGGTTCATGCTGCCTTGTAGACCTTTGACCATCTTGGTCATTCTCCTCTGGACCTGTTCAAGCCTGCCAACGTCCAACATGGGTGAGAAATTTGTCTAGTTTGCAAATACTGAACAAACCTGCCTTTCAAAGCTCTGCAGAGATCAGACTGCAGTTAAGTGACAATGTCCATATTTCTCTAATAGTACTGAAATAAAAACAAGTACCTCAAAACTCTGTATAATGGGGAATGTGTGCACAAAAACACATCTTAGGAAAATTTGCTTGCTAAATTGCTCCAGCAAAAAACAGGCTCACTCTATCTTCTAGAAGAGAACCATAACATTGGAAGAGACCTCAAGGACCATCCAGTCCAACCCCATTCTGCCATGCAGGAACTCACAACCAAAGCACACCCAACAGAAGGCCATCAGCATTTTCCACTGTTGAACAGCTCTTACCTTCAGGAAGTTCTTCCTAATGTTTAAGTGGGATCTCCTTCCCTGTAGTTTGCATCCATTGCACCATGTCCTATTCTCTAGAGCTGTAGAAAACAAAGTTGATCCATCTTCAATATGCCATCCCTTCAAGTATTTAAACAGCGCTATCATGTCACCTCTTAACCTTTTCTTCTCCAGGCTAAACCTACCAGCTTCCCCAGCCACTCTTCACAGGGCTTCCAGACCTTGCATCATTTTGGTTGCCTTCCTCTGGACACGCTCCAGCTTCTCAAAATCCTGCACTCCACATGGTATCTTTTCAGATATCTAAAGAAGTCTCTGTCATATCACCCTCCCAGTCTTCTCTTCTCCAACATACCCAGTTCCTTTAGGTGTTTCTCAGAAGGCTTGGTTTCCAGACCTTTGACCATCTGGACACTTTCCAGCTTGTCTTTATCCTTCTCGAACTGTGATGCCCAATACTGAAGATGGCATCGCAGGTGAGGTCTGACCAGGGCAGATAAAGTATCACAACTACTTCTGGACACTACAGTGGACCTTGGTGTCCACTGCCATTTGGTTCCAGGACCAATCTCGGTGGATACCAAAATCCATGGATGCTCAAGTCCCATTAAACACAATAGCATAGTAAAATGATGTCCCTTATAAAATGCAAAATAAAGGATTGCTTTCTGGAATAGATAGATAGATAGATAGATAGATAGATAGATAGATAGATAGATAGATAGATATTTTAAGCTGAGGGTGGTTGAATCCATAATCCATAGATAAAGAATCCATGGATACAGAGGGCTGACCATATACTCCTGTTGATGTAGCTTAGAATTACATTGGCTTTTCTGGCTGCTGCATCACATTGTTGACTCATGTTTAGCATGTGGTTTACTGTGACCCCTTGGGTCCTTTTCACATGTACCACTTTCAAGCCAGGTGTCACCTATCCTGTATTTGTGCATTTCATTTTCCCTGCCTAAATGTAGTTTCCATGGCTGAATGGATATTCGAACCCTGGTCTCCAGAGTTGTAGTCCAGTGGTTGAACCACTACCCTATGCTGGCTCTCTGTAAGGTGAACATGTGTCAAACACCATTGAAATGCCAGCCACATTCTAGAATAAACTTATTTCTTTTATCATCATTAAAACCAAGGGGAACAAAGAAAGTGGAATTAAATATGAGTTACTGTTTTACAAGGATGCAACGGTTGGCACTTTGGAAAAGGAGTATTTTGAGTTTAATAAATATTAATTTGTGCATTCAGCAGCAATTGAGGAGGCTTCAAAAACCATTGTCAGAAGGCTTTGTATTCAGAAATTAGCCTTTGTGAAAAAGTCAAGGAAAGAAAAATCACAAAAACTGAAAATACATATAAGACACTGCAGGGAGGGGGAAGCTACAAAGAAATGTGTTCTCCCATGAATTATAGAATATTAGAAGTGATAAGAAAAATAGATATTTGAAGCTGTGGCCAAATTGATTTTTTTTGTAGCTTTCCTGAAACAGGAAGTTGTTGGTTTTTTTAAATAATCCAGGGTAATATATTTGGTAAACTACTGGTAGCCTTGCTAAAATGAAAAGAGCAAAATAACATGATAAATTAAATTGAGAAAGATAGTGAAGCAGCAATTCAGACTAATGAGAGAGCTAATTTCTGTAGGAATTATTATGGAGATTCATATAAATCTGAAAATCCTTTGACTGGACTTAGCAAACTTTTTTGGAGGT